CAGGGGGTAAATTGAACCACTGTTCAAACCTGGGCATACCTGTTCAAACCTGGGCATATCTACAGCGAATCTGAAAGGTAACTATAAACAATAAATAACAAACCAAATACAAGCTTAGTTTTTCAAATATTTTTTATATAAATTTCGATTGAATTGATTGATTTTTGTTAAAAGGAATAGTAATCATACAAATGGTGATACAATTTCATACATCTTACCAATCAAACACAGGGTAAATACAATTTTAAATGTAGCCCACAATGAGCTCTTATTATCAACTTGGCCTACTTTAATTAATTTCTCCATTGAAAAACTGGCTCAACTTACCCCAAGCCCATGGTTCACTTTACCCCATAGCCACCATTTTAGAAAAAATAGCCTAGCATTAAAATTCATTCATTAAGAGTAATCTTTAGCTTAATGATTCACATGGTTTAATACGCTGCCAACACATCAACATATACAATATATGTGTTTAAACCTGGATACTTTTATTTTGACATGACAGCCGATATAGCTGACATCTAGAAAATGTACTTTGACAAGCAGAAAACGTTTTTTTGTAAAAATGTTTCACTTACCAGACCACAATGCGTATCTCTCTTTCACAGGCAATGAGAAATGGGTGGGGCTTGCATAATTTCTAGTCACTTCATTACAACTATAAGGTGTTGCCTGATTACAGGGCGTGGTTCAACTTACCCACTGGCTCAACTTACCCCCTTCTCCCCTACTGTTGAGGCTAATTTCAGTAGTTGCGTGCATTTACAAAGTGTGAAGAGGAGGCAACTTTAGAATAGGGAACCTGTTCAGGTCAATTAGAGTCAAACTACTAGCTTATTGGTTATGAACAAGACTTCCCTTTAAAATAGACATATTCTTCGATAGAAATACCTAATTTTGAGTTATTTAGACTTAATTAACACTTATAGTTTAATGTCTTATTACATAAGGATAGATCAAATTTGTTAAATGTTATTATGGGAGAATTAGTATTCTTGTGGTACTGCTGCCTTATTAGGCCCATATTGAGCAGAGCATATTAAGACCAAAACTCATGTACAACAACTTCCTTACTTGCAATAAATAAGCACTAATTAGAGGGTTATTGAGGAACAACTCTCAACTAATGGCTTATTACTTGTAGAATATGGTCATGTAGAATAAGGCATTAATAAGTGTTTTATAATGACTAATAAAGAGCCAATATACTGCTAATAAGCATGTTAATTAACAACTATTGATGGTGAATTTGTGTACCTTAATATAAAGTGTTAACAAAAGTTCTTATTGCAGCTCAAATTTAGCTAGCAGTGCTCTGAGCAGCTTCAGGCTTTGTTTTCAAAGCTGTAAACCAGTCAAGGAATGAATATTTAAACTGGCTTCCTGTCGGATCAACCTGACTTCCTTTTAAAGTATATCCTCTCACAACCAGTACAATGTCCTCTCTCATAAGCTCTCAAAAACACAAGCATTGTCTTTCACATACACTATCATTCTCTCTCACACAAACACTACTATAGCCTCATACATACTGCAATTCCTCTCTCACATACACTATCATTCTTTCTCACACACAAAGTTTTCTATCTTGCATACACTACTAGAGTATTATATTGTAGTATGATGTTGTCTGTAAGTGGGAATAATAGTGTTTCTAAGAAAGTACAGTTTGGTATGTAAGTAAGTTTGATTTATGGCAAAGACAAAAGTGTGTGAAAGAGAGTATGATTGTGCGTGTAAAAGTGTTTAGCTATATGTATAAAAGAGTTTAATGGTGTATGTGTGAGATTCTGATATGTTTGTAAGACCAAGTATGAGTTGTGAGCTAGACGGCCTCTCATACATATACACAACTGCAGGTACAGACGCATATAAACACATACATTCCCACACAAACAGTGATAAAAACATTAAGAAGACATGAAATGGAACTCAGTTTCAGTGGTTCAGACATGTCGTCTTGTCAATACGTCAGCAGGATGGCACCAACTCAAAATGTTGTTTTAACATCTAAAGAAGGTCTATGTTCTCATAAAGCTTGGCACAAAGGAAAAGGAAAGTTTGGGTTTTAAGTGCGGTCAATTGCTGGCACCGGGCTGCATTGTTCAAAACATTAAAGCTAATGTTGTGGCATGAAACATTCAAACTGCACTCTCTTAAAAATATCCATCTGACATCCAACTAACTCTGAGCAGATTATTTAAAAGGGAGGGCAGTAAAACAAGTTAAATCAAATGAAACAGCTGCCGTCATTCAACCCATCTCCTAATAAAGAACACGATAACTGATGATGTACTTACAATAAAGCCAGGAACAACATTAAAAAGGGGAACTAAATGTGCATGAAGGCAGTGATGAATCAATCAGACACCCACTATTCGACATTCTACAATCTATTTTGCAACCCCTAGCATATTTGGCTTTATATAAACATATGTATTTCTACAATTCTACAAAGTTCTTGGCCTTATGAACCCTTTCAAGCCCAAGAAAAATATTTTGTTAAGATTAGAATGAAACAAAAGAATGAACTTACATAATTAGGAAATCTACAAAAATAAATAAAAAGCAGAAAACGTGTCAATAGGTTGCATAACCAAAAATACATAAATGAATTTTTTCTCAAACTGCTGGCAACTGCAGTGTTTTGCAAGTTCCTCAAACATTAATATTTTTTTGGGGGGGGGGGCTATTTTTGCATGCGGATAATTACATACGAAGTTGGTATTTACAGCTGCAGGATCGTGTGAATGTGGGTTTGAAAAAAATGTCAGTGCCCATGATCATTCTAATGGAGGTCTGTGGCATAAAAATACAAATTATTTGTATGTTATAGCTACACAGACATCTAGTTTAATAATGTCATAACTTGGTAATGATATTTTCCAAGTGACTAAAGACAAGGCTCAATTATGTTGTAATAGGCAAGCTGGGAATTGTTTATTAGGTTAAAAAGAATAATGGGATGGGAGTGATTGTACGGCACCCAGAGGAATGCTGGGAAATGTTGTGTTTTTCCGTGCTGTGTCTGTCCTTGGAAACATACACCGGAACAAAGCGATACACTTACACATGTTGGACTCTGGGGAGATTCAGATGGATCGCTCTATCACTGCAAAAATGTCCACACGTGCTGGTGTCCATGGCCTCTGGGTGAGCTACAGTATATATGTTGGAAGAATGTGTATGTGTGTGTGTGTGTGTGTGTGTGTGTGTGTGTGTGTGTGTGTGTGTGTGTGTGTGTGTGTGTGTGTGTGTGTGGTGGTGTGTGTGTGTGGGGGGGGGGGGGGCATATGCATGTCCGTCTTAAGAATTGTATTATGTTGTGAGGGGCTTAAGGAAGTATGAGCAGAGTTTGAGTTATTGTACTGCTTAGTCTTTGGGGAACGAGGAGAGTAATCTGAAGGAACAGCTAGGGGCCACTTCATACTCAAGTCAAGCGTGTAACAACCTCCACCCACCACACCCTACGCACACAATTACACACACAAACACACCTGCACCATACCAGGACTATAGGGCCATGATATAGTAAGTGCTCCAAATCTACAGACTTCCCGGACACACAGGTAAACTGTCCCTGGACACTTATCATGCGCAGGTGTGCAAGTGAGAGAGAGTGCATATGAAAGTGTAATAGTGTTTCATTATGTGGATTTAGAGTATATAAAGTAGAACAATCTATATGCCAGTGAGTTGACTCCCAGAACTCCCTATAAAATAAAAAACTAGACATGAAAGTGCCCCATTTACTTTTTATGACCACGGAAAGAACCCTTGCAGCCAGATCCAGATGGGGGGGTTTGTATATTGTCCTAAAATGCTACTTAAGAGTTGCTTAATCCCTAAAGAACAGATCATTATGAGACACTGAAGGAACAATAAGAAAATATAAAAAATATATATGGTGCCGTAATACTTTACAAGCGGGTACCGAAGCCTATATATTACGTCTCAAATATGAACACAATATTCCTCGGAGGTTTTAGAACTCTGTAAAGGGAATATGTGGTTAATAGTTTAGTTTTTTGTTAGGACAACTTCCTTTCTCTCCAAGGGGATGTCAAGGACAGAGGGGAACAGAGGGGGAGAGAAAGCAGAGCGCCTGATTTCTTCACCTGCCGCTAGTCATAACATCACTTCTCTATCTTTAGTGGACAGTCAAACAAAAAGGTTTTCTGCTGCCAGCCTCCATAGATTCGTTATCTAGCTTTGTCTTCATCTAGAGCAAACATAAACATGGCACAACATGCATTCAATGTAGTGTGGAGTTGGAAAGTTTGAAGCTTAACACTGAATGGGACTATCTGAAATGTGGTATTGTATTCTGATTTTTTTAACTTTGCAGAACTGCTTCCTTAACCATGGGCATAACTTTGAAAGGCATATCACTGTCCTAGTTGAAAGTGAAAATAAAGAGGACTATGGCACTAACTGTTGTATGCTAATGTAGAGTAAGAACAGCTCATCAGCCACAATGAATTGAAACTTTGAAAGGCATAGCACTGTCCTAGTTGAAAGTGAAAATAAAGAGGACTATGGCACTAACTGTTGTATGCTAATGTAGAGTAAGAACAGCTCATCAGCCACAATGAGTTAAATCTGAAAAAATCCTCATCACTTATGACTGAAACCATCTTGAGAAATGAATGAGAAAAAATAAGAAAGCAATCTCAATGCTATCTGTGTTGTCTCTATTTGCACTCTTGGTATTTTACCATATTATTTTTGTATGTAATATGTGTTGGAAATCTGTCACCATAATGGTTCTATTTTCTTTATTTGTTTCAAATATTTTTTGTAATGCTTTTCATTGTTTTTAAAATAGATGGATGATTGTTCCTAATACCTCAAAACTATGTACAAAATAGCAAATTTGCATCTCACCCATGGATGTATAAGAACCGTCGCCTGTCAGCTTGGAGCAGCAGCGCCCTCTGCTGTCACAGAGGTGCATCACAGCACAGACGTCTCTCCTCCAGCGCTCTTTTGTTATTGGCCGCTTCCGGTCATGTGACCAAAACAGAATCATGGCGGCCTCCGCTGCAGTCCGCTCAAGCATGGGACTGACTTTGAGACTTTCTCGATCTATCCCGGACTGTAGCACATGCCCTTTCTACAGGTTAAAGAGCTGTGTGAACAGCGTGGGTAAATTACAAAGGAAGGGTTCCTTCGACAGCTTCCGGACCATAAATCGACACTTGCAGACAAGTATATGTGAGTGGTGCAGTTTGCTAACATTTAGCCTCAGTCACAGGCTAGTTCTTCTCTCTGGCTATTTGATAACGATACGTCTAAATAAGTGATAAGTTATCTATTTTTTCACACTGAAGTTTAAAGTGTTCATTCCCAGTTTGGCTCGCTGGTGGTCGGTGACAAACAACAGTTATTAGAGTCGAAAGTCCGCTCAATAACACTTGTGTAACTTCATCAACATTCCCAGATTGGGTTGTGAAACTTCATGCAACAAGTACAACCCTTCCACATCCGGTACCGCCAGGAAGAGCTGAGATTGCCACTGACAGCAGAAACACTAACGGTCCTGTTGTTGTTTTTTTACAGCTTTGTACCACAGTGAGGAGGGGAGCTCGAATGCAGAGGACCCGGAGGATGTGTAAGTTACAAGGTTTATTTTATTGATACGTTGTACACTGCAAAGCATTAACAGCTTGTATTAGTTTATGAACACACGATTGTTTAAATACCCGATAATACTATTAAACATGTGGAGTTCAAGTGAGTAGAGGCTAAATATAATTATCAGGGGAAAGATTCGAGCTTGCTGAGTCATGCTTCATCTGCATTTTATTGTTGGACTACATTCTGAGCATAAACTGAGTCAAAAGGACTCTAAACACGAAGCCTTCATAGCATGCATATGCAGCATTTTACAAAAACAATGTAACGGTGCACATTTATACAATACATTTACATTTATTTAGTACAAGATCTGTGGCTGATGCGGTTCAGAGCTTGTGGTTTGATCCTTTGCTCCTCCTGTACACAGTGCAGTGTCCTTCAGCGATGACACTGAACTGTGGATGGCGCCAGATAGTGGAGGTGTGTCCTTGGATGCAAAAAGCACTATGTTATTGCCATTTCATATTGGTAATAATGTGCCTGATCCTGTCCATGTAATTTTCGGACTCTGTAATTAATATTTATTGACAGAGGGTTTTTCAATCTCCTGCAGAATTCAGAGGTTTTCTGTACTGGATCGCATATAACCATGTTTGCCTTCTCTCACTGCAACTTTCAGCAGCAAACTGCTTTGTTTACCTACATGATGAGTAGCAGTTGGATAAATGTAATATAGTTTAAGGAAAACAGCCTGTGCTCTTGAATTAAGGCTTCTCAAGAAGTAGTCGTATTCACTGTAGAACTACAGTCACATAAGATGTTTCTTTGTGGGATTTTTTGGGGGAACAGAAACGTTTTTTTTTTCTACATTCTACTGGAGTTCTGTTTAATAACCCTTTAAATCATGATTTAAACCTTGCCAGTAAGGCTAAATTATTTTTGAACTTCCTGTTGTTTAGGGTAAACGTGGTGTATATCGACCGCTCTGGCCAGAGGATCCCAGTTAAGGCCAAGGTGGGAGATAACGTCATGTATCTCGCTCAGAGGCATGGAATTGAATTGGAAGGTGAGAATATATATGTTCAAAGCTAAATAATTATTTAATGCATGGTTTGAGGATATTAATACACATTATTTTTGTTTCTCTTTCTTTCAGGATCCTGCGAGGCCTCTCTGGCCTGCTCAACATGTCACGTCTATGTAAATGATACTCATTTTGACAAACTGCCAGAACCCGACGAGAGGTAGTTCTGCTCCAAATGATAACTTTCTGAACAACACATTTTGAATTTCAACAAATGGATGTGACGAGGTTAAAGCGAGATCGCTGTAAATATTGACATATCTCTTTGTGCTCTAGGGAAGATGACATGCTGGACATGGCACCCTTGCTTCGGGAGAACTCCCGATTAGGATGCCAGATCATTCTCACTCATGAGCTCGAGGGCATAGAGCTCACCTTGCCCAAAGTCACCAGGAACTTTTACGTGGACGGCCATGTTCCCAAACCTCATTGAGAAGGGGAGCAGATGACTAGAGCTGGAGAAAATTGGAGGGTGGCGCTGCAAGCTATACACCATGTGTGTTCGTTGAGTGAGGGGGCGCCCATAAAGAGATGCACGGCTTGGATAGTAAAGTCCGTAGCAACTGCTGAGACCTCTTGCAGACTGACAAATTCCACAGTTAACCAATGACAGTACAGGCCTGCAGATGACATCCTTATAGTCAGACTCTACAAGTCTCTCTTAAGGGGAAATTAATGGTTACTTCCCAAAAAAAACTGATAGTTTAACTGACTATATATTTATTAACATGGGTTGTTGTTCTCAGGCCAGTATCAAGACACCATTACATCTCGCAAACTGTTCTTTGTTGAAAAAAATTTCAGAGACATTTTATTTTAACAGAGTACTTGCTGTTTAATGGAACATTCCTTGTTACAGCTCATATACGCACAAGTATGACAAGATGATGTTCTTAGTCATTTCTGTAGGTTCATCATTGTCACACTGTTTCACTTGTCAGATATTGTATGCATAGCATTACTTTTAATTTTCATCTTGTACCAAGTAACTACCCGCTGAATTTAGCTCGCCCAAAGTCAAACATCATGTTTTCTTCTGCATGGTACTGAAGCCAGACATATAAGTATAAGTCATATTGTCTAATGCAGTGTATTTCAAATAAAAAAAGACCTGCAGCTTAAGAGTTAGACAGTTGAAACTTACATAGTATTCACTATAACAGCAAAACAATCAGGCTTTAAAGATCACCTGGTGAATGCATCTCAAAGCTCTTCCCAAGGTGCAAATAAGTAAGGTTTGATTAGTTGATCTGGTTCAGCTGTGCATTTTACCGAGCAGCATGAAGGTTGAGATGAGTTTTGAAGCATGTGGGCTTCATGTTACCATGGATTGAGTTTTTCTACATCTACATTTTTACTTAAGTCTACTGTACTTGTCCTTACGCACAAATGTAAGTCAACTGTGTATCATGTCTTTAAATTACAAATATTTAAAGTTGTGCAATAAAACGTTCTTAAAAAGTTATTTTTGAACACTGCCATCATTACCAAGCAGCCTCTGACACTACCAGTTTCCTACCAGGACTCAAAGGGGAAAAACATATCACTTTTGATTATTTTAGCCAAACTGAAATAAACAAATGTAGTTCACTGCAGACTGTCATTGATGGCAAAATCTCCACCTTGACCCAGAAAACATCTGAACAGGCATTTATGTGGATGTGTGCAGCAGCTGCAAACTGAAACTCTGTTGGGCAACACTTTTATTACTCAGCAGGTGTAATCTAACAAACCCAAAACACCTGTGTAGCTCCTCCTATGGTCCAAAACAAACAACCCAGTCATAGCAACCAGCTCCAGCGATTTGAATTCCCAGTAAGTTGGCACACTTTATCATTTATTTGATAATCGATTTGGAGATCTAAGGTGAGCATTAGCTGAAGATCCCAGGCTAACTGGGTGGACTGTACTGGACTGTTTACATTTGATTTGGTCCACATTTTGAACTGTTATCTTAAGGCCCTAATGTTAAATACGTGTTTAGCCATAGAAGCCATGACAGGTCACAAATAAGGAAGGATCGAAAAACTTAATTTTAGAGTGAATACAGGATCAGATGAAAGAGCGATCATTGATCCTTCAGAGTGCCTGTAGAGTAGATCTACAAACTAGCCTATGAGCAAACTGTAGAGTAAATACATTACATCTAATGTCGTTTTTCCTAGTTTTTGTTGTTGTCCCAAACATTGAGGCCTAAGTGAAGACACACCCTTTCGATGCAAATATGAGAGAATTAAGAAAATGACATCAGTAATACTTGAAGTGATTCGCTGTAGCTATTTCTTTAAATCTTGAATGTATAAGATATCGATCTGTCTTGCTTCTGCGCTCGCGACATTCGAACACCGCAAAAAGCGCGAAAATATTTGACATTCTAGAACGCAAAGCATACATTTTGTGTTCTACAACTCTTTTAAACGACAGGAAAAGTTCGACGTTTTGGAGATTTTTGAATGTTTTGCAACATTCCTTCCGGTAAGTTACATACGTTATATTTAGATTTTTTTTAAAGGCTCTTTGTTGATCCAGGCGGGTTCATGTAATTGATGTTGTCAATGACAGCTCGGTATTAAAATAAAAAATAAAAATAAATAAAAACTAAAAACTAAAATGACACTAGCTGAATATTAGCCCATCTTTTATATTTTAATGTTAATCTTTTATTTAGTCTAACTGTCCAATATTTGTCACAGTTGGGAAACAAAGAATGTTAAACACTCCAATTGCCCTAGCTTATATGTGTTTACTGTGTTTTTGAATACACCGTTAGCTTGTGTAGCAATACATTTTTAGCAGCTACAGATTTAGACATAAATATAGCCCAGTTAACGTATTATTCAATGTTGTGCAAATCCTTTATATTTCATTTAGCCTCTAAAATAGTGGTCCTCATTTTTAAATTGTGGAGTCTAAATATGAAGCAATTATTAATGTCCACCTCTACTGAAAATAAATAAAATATCGTATAGCAAGCTGTATATGTAGCGAGCTGAAGGTTTAATTGTGAAGTACTGATCTAAAAGTTGTTTGTTTTTATAATTGACAGACACTTTCTCAACATGAGCACAAGACCAAGGACACAAGCTGCCTTCATCCAGGGAAACCAGAGTGCAATTGAACACGAGGGCTCCCAATCAGCACTTGTCTACCTTTTCCAAGAAGTTTCAAAGCTAGCATCCCCCATCCACAACAGTTTCCTGGACATCAATCCACCCTCCATGTGGCTACATGAGACTTCTAGGCAAGATTCTTTTAAAGTTAAAAAAGAACAAGAGGATGCACAGTCTTTTCAAATCTCTAATAGTCCCTGCCAGCACAATTTGTCTTGCATGTCGTCCTATAATCAGATGAAAAAAGTGAAGGAGGAAAGTCACATCAACAATGTCACAACTTTGGTTGAGCCACATCTGAAATGCAGCAGCCCCTGGAAAGTACTGAGCCTAATCAATCTGCAGTGTGAGAGGCTTCTGCATGTAAAAGATGCGGAGGAGTCAGACCCAAAATTGGGCCATTCAATAGACAAATCGTCGACTGCAGCACCAGATGTAGCAGATCTTGGAATCGGAGGTGACTGTGTAAGTGTGGAATGCACTTTGAGACCATCTCTTCTAATCTACGGGAGTCAAGAAATCCCACAGGGCTGTGTGAAAGTTTCCAAAGTGGGCCGCTGTCTCCAGTCACAGATTGCTGAAAAAGCAGACCCTTTTTCAGTGTTCAGTGTTAACAGAAATGTTGAAACAAACCAGCATTGTTTCTCTTCTGAAAACAATCATTTGCGTGAGCCCTTCTCTGATCCCTATGCATGCCTAAATGCCCAGACAACTTTTAATTCAAATGAAGATGCAAGTGTGGCTATGTCAAAGCGAGCGCTAACACTACACCACAATGCAAACCTTGCTCTTTCTATAGAGCCGCTATGTGACACCCAGCTGTCACCTCTGAGCTCCATCCTGCCTTCTTCACAATCAGCATCACTTTTATTTAGCAATGCAGATAAATGTCAGTCATGTGCAAAGCAAGATGACAAAATCACAGCATTTAAACCAGAACATACAAATGCACCTCCGATTGCACAACTACAAACCTCAAGTTTAAATGGAGAAACAAACTCCTCACATTCTGCAACATTAAAACTAGAAGCCAGGTCTGTGCAAAAGGAGGAAAGTGCTGCTCCATCTACCCAGCAGTGGAGAACCAAGACTCTGAGAAAGCAACTTCATCCCAGGAGAAGTGCTAACATACAAGACCCAGACTTCCAGGGAGTGACGTTCAGGATGAACACAGAGCTGGACGACAACAGGGAACAAAGTCGGCTCCTCATAACTTCAATGTACAGGTAGTGTGAAATTCATTACATGGTTGCAATGGCTGTTAGAAAACAGTGATGACAGAGTTTAGTCAAACCCTTTGATATTTATGTATTTGTTTTTGCTGCAGTAAGGAGCTCCGCAAGAGTGTGAGAAAACGGAGGCTGAGGACACGGACGTCACAGATATCCCTTAAAACCAGCAGCTCTGATGAGGAGAGTTCCTGGATGACCAGTGTTTCCAGTGAGTAACGCTCGAGTGCCTCCACCAATGTCAGTTTATGCCGCAGAAATGTGGAGCTCCTGCAATCTTTAATTTAGTTATCTCATTATAAATTAGATCATGTCAAGTCAATTGTATTTACAGTATAACGTCCTAAATAACACGTTTGTCTCTGAAGACTTTTACATCTGTAGAACATATGACCCTCTCCATCTTCAGACCCTTGGTTTAGCATCCAGAAACACACAACAAACACAAATGTGTTCGTATGTATTTGCACTAAAATCCTATTTTCTCCACTAGATGACGCCAACGCATCAAATCTAGACTTTGCAGCATTCCTCAGGAAAAGCATCCTAATACAATTTTAGGCTCCAATTTGTTCCTTGAATATACCAGTTATTTTCAGTATAACTTTTTTCTAAAATGGAGTGTTTATTTTAAGCAGACAATGGGTTCTAACCACAAGCACTTCTTCTTTTTTTTTTACACACTCAGTTAAAAAGTGCTGTACAATAACTAAAGAGAGGTTTTCTTTCTGTCTCACCAGAGGGGAAAGTATGTGCGTCGTGCTGCACCAGGAAGACCCCGATGTGGAGGGACGCAGAGGACGGGACCCCACTCTGCAATGCCTGTGGAATAAGGTAGCTCATATCAACACTGATATGTATGTCACATCAACATGTAATGGTAGTAGTCATGAATTTTAAGCAGACATTAAGAAATATAACTTTTCTACAGTATAACTTTTTTTGGATTGGCTTCAACATTGAGCTCCATAATGAAATAGTTCATGAAGATTCATTGTTTTTGTTATTATCATGAAAAAACAATAGGATCCAAAGACTTATACCAAGATTAAGACCAGTTGATTCATTCCACAGTCTAAAGTTTTACTACTGCACTGTTTTGCAGGGGTACATTTGAAGGTTAATCCATTTAAAGTGTATGAACAGCATACATACTCTATGACGGCCATATTAATCGCTTAGTATGAATATGTTGATTGGCTTGTTTACTTCTAGCCTGCATAAATAAACACCACTTTACATCTGTGTAACAGTGATCCTTAATTGACAATAAACATATACATGTCATAGATAAATGCCAAAAAAGAAGAAAGTTTAATTTGGCTGTCATTTTCTTCTTCACTCTTTAAGGTATAAGAAATACAGAGTGCGCTGTGTCTACTGCTGGCATATCCCGAGGAAAGAGGGCAACTCCAACTCCTGCTGCCTCAAGTGTGGAAACTTTGTGAGGCTGACCACAGCTCAGCGCAAACAAAGCACCTAGGGAACAGTGTGACAAAGCTCTACACACATGTGCAGATTTGAACACTTTTGTCCATTACAATGAACTACAGATGGGACTGCATGAGAGAGGAGCAGCGTCTCATGTGACCCCGTATTTAAATGAGTTTCACTGCTACAAGGTTGCACCTCAGGCAACAGAGACAATTCCCTTTGTGTCTATGGTTGCTCTAGACGTGCTGTATACAACAGTAAACTAATCTTGAGTCTAAACATTTTGAGGACATCCACACTTCAATCTTTACTTCACTGATCCTATGTTTGCTACCTTCTAACCTCGTTGTAGCATGTATGACACCATTTATTGTTGGGATTATTTTCCTCTACACAGGGTTACAGGGGGACAGTTAGCTTTATCAATGTAGTTTTATTCCGGCCCTGAAGGGCTGCTATAAGAAGTGGACTCATTCAGTAGATAAGTCATAATTGTCAAACATTTAAATAATATAATAAAAAGCTTCAGTGTTTCTCGTGTACAATGGTTGGCTGTGCCAGATTGCTGAAGTAGAAAGTTATTTCTGTACTGGATCAAAAGCGGCAACTGTTGTGTTTACTGTCATCAACTGCAAAACAATTGATTTATTTTGACCTTCCCAGCTGACTGCTATGTTCAGTAGTTATGCACTTTAAATTAAGGTCCTTATTTATTTTGTCATCGTTTCTAAATATGCTTGTTTTTTTCCTGTTTTGTTTGTTTGGGTTTTTGCCGGTTTTATTGATGCACTGAAAAAAAAAGGGTTTTGGTATGTAATAAATTTAGTATGAAACTTCCCATTTGTTTCCTGGTTCTTTGTAGGGGTATTATATGGACTGCTCTTTGTATAAATCCCTGAAGAAAATTGCTGAGATTATAAAATAGTGGAATAGTTTCAGATGGATAGATATCATATTAAACTAGAGGTACAGGGAATAATTGTTCATTAACGAGACTTCCCACAGTTTCCTCAGCCCACCCTGCAGTGCAGGTCGTTTGCCAAGTGGGTGGTCTCTCATGGATTGATACAGTGCAGCTATTATTTCAAAACGCATTACGTCGTTCTCTTATTTGAAACAGTCAGTGTTGCCTCTGTGACCATGTGCCAAAACATATGAGCAACACCGAAGGAAATGAGTGCTGTGTAAGCCAAAAACATAAAGATAGAAACGACTTCAATAAAATGATTGTGCTTACTTTATATGAACCTTCAGCATATTTTAATGTTTACAATATCACCTGCTGTGGTAACTTCAATATCAACAGGAAACCCTGATGAATGTTTGAGCCAGAATACAACAACACAATAAAACATCTAGATGGCAAAACATATATGGACCAGCACATTTGAAATGCATTAAGTGTAAAGAGAGTATATATGCAGCTGCACTGTTTTCAGTTATGAACAAACTGGAGATTGAAAGTAATTAAGGCCTTGTGTAACCGAGTGAAAATGTTGTATTTCTCATGCCATCAAACTGTTAAATGGTCATAATGAAATGAAAAAAAATTGCTTTCACAAGGCAATGTTTCCTTATTTATTGCAAACTAAGGAGCAGTTGTGCTCGAAACGTCACATAGGTGCAATAAAAGAGTGAACATTTGAGCCTATTTATTTATTTATTTCACAATTGTTTACTTTCTGCTCAGCACCTATCCTCTTTGGTTTGGATGTGCATGTAAAATCCTTGTTGAATGTTCAGGATAAGTCCATAGAGATCATTTGAACAACTCATGACTGTGTGTAATGATGGCTTGATGTACACCAGGACGTATGTAATGCTGTCCCTTGATGTACATTGTGCTATGAGAGTGCATGTTTGTTGTTATTTCATGTGCAGATGAAATCTATTCTATGCTATCTCATATTTTAATCTGTGTGGTTTGGTTGTCGCATGGCTGCAAGGTGCAAGACAAATTTTCCACTTGGGATAATAAATCGAAGTTGTAATTAAACTGTATCAGAAAAAAAAAATCCAGAGCAGCATCTGATAATGCGTGTATAAAACGCCTTTGACATCTTTGTGATCCAAGTATAATCATTGTAATTGTCAGAGTACAATATTCATTAGCCAAAGTATTATTTAGTTAAAACCATAGACTGTAGTATTATTTAGTTAAAACCGTTAAAACCTTTAGAGCTCCCTGGTCACATGTGCTGTTGTTTTTTTGTTGATGAAGACAGACTTGGAGGAGGAGGAGGAGGAGGAGGGGGAGGGGGAGGGGGAGGGGGAGAGGGAGGAGAAGAAGAAAGTTTAGAGTAGGCTGAAAAGTCTGGTGAGATGCGCAGCTTTTTTTGTGAATGAAAGTTGAGAAGGTGGTCTGTTCTGTCCAGTCATGCGAGATCATTGCCGGTCGGGGCCGAGGTGCCACCGGACCTCCGGACCATGACCTCAGACAGCAGACTCATGGATGAGGCCGACATTGACGTGGAGGGACAGACGGACGGAAGTAATGCAGATTTGTCTGTGATCAATACTCATGTTGTTGAGCAAAGCGCTTCATCCCTCACTCAGGGAGCTCGTGAGGACGAAGACTCTGCAGAGCGGCTGCAGGATAGTCCGGGCGAGAGATCCGCCCCGGTGAAGCCCCCATACTCATACATCGCTCTCATCACCATGGCCATCCTCCAGAGCCCGAAAAAGAGACTCACCCTGAGTGAGATATGTGATTTTATCAGCCAGCGCTTTGCGTATTATCGAGAGAGGTTCCCCGCATGGCAGAACTCCATCCGCCACAACTTGTCTCTGAATGACTGCTTTATCAAAATGCCCCGGGGGCCTGGGGACCCTGGCAAGGGGAATTACTGGACCCTGGACCCCATGTCGGCAGATATGTTTGAAAATGGGAGTTTTCTTCGGCGAAGGAAACGCTTCAAGAGGCCACATTTTAATTTAGGGACAATGAAGGACTCCAGGGTTAAGGAGAGCAGCCCCTTCTTTCCTCTCCTCGGGACGTTGAGTCTCCAGGGGCAGGATTTGTACCAAGATCTGGGCTTAGGAAGTGGATTTAGTCCCCTCACGAGATCTAGCATCCCACCTGTTAGCAGCGTCATACCTGCACTCTCCTCGCTCCTCTCCAAGAATTTCCCCTCATGTATAACTTTTGAACATTTCGACCCGGGACGCTGCGCTGCTGTCCCATCTCTGGCTCCAAACTGGCTTCAAACCCCCCTGCACGGAATGATACCCACCTACCCTGTTTCTCAGCTTTCTGATTTCCCCACTCGGATCATCAAATTATCGTCTAATTTATTTTAATGTTTTGATTCCTGCCTATCTCCGTAGGCCTATATCCTTCCTCTCAGCATGAGAATATGGTACATTTTAAATAAATTCAGTTTTTATAGATGGCATGCAAACAGGCCTCCAACCATATTTTGTACGTGTTTTTCAAAAACCTATTGTACAGTCCTTAAATATGTTCTAAATAATTGAATTAACTAAGTCTGAGCAAGTTTATAATTACACTATCAAATAATATCTGTAAATACAGCAATACATGTTACTACATTTTACTTGTATTGACTGTATTACAAATGCCTGGTTGCTGACTCTTATTTGAACAAAATATAAATTGCAAGATGTGCTCGAAATACAAACGAACCTAAAATTAATTACCAGCAAAAACTATTCCATATCCTTAAAATAATTCCACACAGAAACAAACGTGGCTTTACAGTTCATTTTTGGGCAAAAAAACCCACTTAATTTAAACATCAGAATGTAAATACAAATATATATTATAAGACATAGTAAACATATAAAAAGTAGGAAAATATTGTGCAAATATGGGAAATATAATATGCAGCTCTTTTCTGATAGTCCTTGGATTTGCTCAAACAGTAGGCCTACTTGTCTGCAAAGGGACTTGACATAATTTATTAATTAATTAATTCGGATGACATCGATTGATTTTTTGCTGTGGATGCAAAATATGATATGATATGATATGAACACAAGTGAGCACATTTAATCTACCCGGCCCTTCTTGTTTATTGATTTTCTTAAGTGAATGATTTCCTCCACATTGTGTGCGAAAGAGGTCCAGCTATAATAACGATAATTATAATTCAACACGCGCTGGTTTTGTCTTCATCTGCAGCCTATAAGTGGCATGAACGTATAGCATGTGTTCAAAATCAGGCGTCAAACTGCACCTCTGTCCTTAATAATCGGATGTACGGTGCTGTTTTTATTGATTTGTAGAAATTTGAGCAGTACAAATTGCCCCTTCTTTTAGGAAGTTGGGTTCAGCTCGTTCAAGTAAAAAAACATGATATTTAGTCAAGTAGTCTATTTTTATCGTCTTAGCAGTAAAACGAACCCTCGTAAAAATACAGTATGCAGTATTTTAGAGATGTGTCATCACAATTTAACTTTTGTTTCTGTCTGTTCAACATACATAAATCTCATATGTTGTGTTATTAGTTATTTGTAAATGAGTGAGGGACTGACTTTATGTCTAAAGGCTTGTGTCTCTGTGTCAGAGATTATAAGAGCATGTAAAACAAGTTGAGTGTGTAAGCAGTTGTGTAACACTAATTTAAACTGTGGACAGATATCAACACTGGTAAGAACAAGCAGTAAATTAGAGGTTAGAAAACCAATCTGCAGTGTAATGATTATTAATACCCTGCAGTGTCTAATCTCATCAATGCAGAAAAGAAAAGCATTGCTCATTACAACAACATTACAATGCAATTGCTTCTATTTTTCAGTATTTCTATAACATGTGAAGGGGCAAGGCCAATTCATTTCAGCACATTAAAACATGTTTTACTGCTAAAAATAAATGTGTTAATTTAAAATGTTCAACTAAGATGTGGTACAATTTTACTTTGATCTACTCCAGAAGAACACTGGTTTAATGTACTGTACGGAGGACATCTCTTCCAGGATGTAGCTGCTGGTCTAAGTGTGCTGTGGCTCATCTGCAAACCGCTGCCTCCCACCGAGTTAACACTTGAGGGAGCAGTTTTCATTTCCTGGCACTCTTGGCCATATTTGAATTTGATTCAATTAAAGTGCACATGCCAGCATGTCAGCCCTGCACACCTATTTGAATAATAAATCATTACATCAGAGTGGGGCTCAATAAGGTAAAAAGAGTGAGTGTATTGCTATCGTAAAGGAATCATTTGTTATTAAATAGTTTTTTAAAGTCAACCAACAATTCTTACAATCTCATAATTACATTGACATTGTTATATATTTTTTAACCAATATCATTTATTAAAAACACAACTAACTTCCATATGTTTTCTTTAACTGGCAAAAAACAGTCTCTCCCCTTTGTGTGTGTGTTTGTATCTCACTCACTGACTTGAGTCGCAATGCTTGTTACAATACGCAATTTGATTGGCTAAGCAGCATCACATGATCTGATTAACAACATGTGCAGTTCATCTTTGACTTTCCTGGGTAACCTAACTCTTTAAAGTCTACAAAAGCCATGATTCATCAAAATTGAATAGTTCTCAATCATTTACCGTGTATATGTCTCAGGGATGATGGAGAGGGAAGGCAGTTTAACAAGAGGGAGGTCTTTGGTGATTTAGAAAAAAAGCAGGATGCTGACCTCTCTCATCCCCCTCAAATAGCCTACAGCTGGTAGACCAAACCACCTTGCCATCAACATTCATTAAATAGCAACCAGGTTTGGCATCCTCTTCAAAAGTGGTCCCTGACTTATCATCCATGTCCATGTCATTACCTCAGACTTTTTTCTTTAATAATGTTTTAATCCCCAGTGTGGAAACCCTTGAATGTCTCCCAAAGGTAAGGCTTGTAATGAAGGGTTTTTGCTGATGGTTGAATTATTCCAGATTGCTTATTTTCTCTCATTCTACTTCTCTTCTTATTTCCCCTGATCCTCCTCCCGAGCAACCAAGTTGAATTCACTATTAAAAGGCAGTCATATATCAGAGGCCATCTTTTGGCACCTCTCCTCGAGGGCTCTGGTTTTGCCTGGAGGTCATCATTGTTCCCCTGGAGTATGTTGTTCTTTGCTTGGACTAAGTTATTATTCTCCTGAAGTACTTGTTGTCTGTAGACGCTGGAGACATTTTGGAAACGGGGCCGAAGAGGTTCAAGGTTCCAGTTGTTGACCTCTTTTGCATACATTATTTACCTGCAGATCTCTGTTGTTTTTCTAAGGTTCTCTTTTTTTTACTGGACGAGGCTTGTTATCATACTACAGTATAGGCGCCCGTATTCCAGTTTTATTTGTATCGATTTTGAGATATGCATTCCTCCATAGGAGCATATTTTGTTCAGGCAGACTCCTGAAGTGGCAGATTGGCATCAGCTGCTTTATTCATGCGTCCCTAAAAGTGGATTATATATTTGTTGTTTGGCTGCCAGCTCACTATATCGTGCACTCATTGTTTTCTCTACAGGGCCTAAAGATCAGGCAATAAAGCAGGACAAAAATGTTATCCTGTATCTTGCAAGTACGTGCATATTTTTCAATAGTTCTGAACAGTCACATATGTTTAAATGACCGCAAACCAACTACCACATACAGTAAAACATAATTGTTTTCCCACGTTACTGTTTATGAATTGAATACAGGAAACAGAAGTTTTCTTTGATTCAGGATTTTCCCTTCTCTAATAAGTAAACCATCTGTAAAGGTTTTGTTTTTTCATCATGAATACCTTGTCATTTGATTCATTTATCATTCATAGTTTTCTGGGAGGTTAGCATATTCATTATGGCAGAAGTTATTCATCAAGCTCAACACCAGCTCAACACCACGCTATTTGGAAGACTAAAGTTTTCCAAATAGCTCAGATTAATACGTTATTCCCAAGTCTATCTCTACAATTACAGTCGGTGTTAAGGAAACTTATTACAGGATTTTTCTTTTTTACTTGGAGGAATGCCAGGAAAGCATGTTTACTTCAGAAATTGATCATCCCATTGAATGTTGTTGACATTTGCATATATGGTTGTTATAGGTCATTACAACCATTTACTACAATTAAAAATGGAACATCAGGCTGGATGAATGTCAAAAACCTACTGCATAACAGTCAAAACATGAAAAATAGAGAAGAAATTAAAAGGCAAAATTAGTAGGATTTAAGAGCAGCAACATAATATGTCAATAAGCAAAAGTTGGAAAAACCAATGCGTATATTTCCTGGCATTTTTCTTGACCTAAAAGTACATATGGTCTAATCGAAGTTAAAATCACCAAATCAATTAGGAATCAAACCAGATGTTACAAATTCCAGACTTTCAAAATGTATTTTTAAGTGGAAATGCCCTTATAGAAAAAGCAGTATAGGAACCATTTTTCTTTGAAATGTTTGCCTGTTCTGCAAAACTTGTTCCCATTTCTTTGAACAGATTCAACTTTGTGTTGTCAGCACTACTCAGTTTACTGACGCTAAGCTTTTCATCTGCTTCCTTTAGCTGAGTATGTGCCTTATCAGAGGCAGAAAATACATGATGGCATTATCTGTCACAAACGAGCTGAGGACCGAAATGCAACACACGGGAAACCAGGGATAGTCGGTAACCAGCTTTATTGAAGGCAGTAGGCTGGTATGGAGACAACACGGCAGATAGTAGGCAAAGGGCTGGTCGGGGACAGACGAGGGTTCCAGGAGAAAGCAAGACGGGAGTTGTAGGTACAGACCAGGTCAGGGAGCAGGCGAGGCAGGCAGGTCAGGGACAGGCAGAGGTCGAAACCGGGAGAGCAATCTGGAGGGTAATGCCGGAAAGACTGGCATGCTGCAAAGTACGATCTGGCACTGAGGTGAAAGTGAAGTGGGCCTAAATACTAATGGAGCTGATGGGTGTAACAGAGTGAGAGAGAGACAGGGTGTGACTACCAGGTGACTAAGGAATGTTAATGCAGAAAATAGGTGAGTGAGAAAGCAGACTGTGACAGAGAGAGGTTACAATTCTGATCATTAATACAAATGTGATAGTCATGATCAGAACTGATGTTGGATAAAAATGTAACATTACAAAATTAGAAATAGCATCAATAAATCGTTTTTTATAGAAGTGTTTGGAATAGGCATTTTTGACCTTTTTTTGAACAAAAAACTGTTAAACTGTCATTTAAAAGTGTGTCACTTCAAAAAGCAATGTTGGTGTTAGTTATTGAAATAATATACAGAACATAATAACATGTGTGTGTTCCTCCAACAACAGACTGTAAATGATGAAGATGCTGAGATGCATAAATCTCCGTAGTAGATTTCTCAACAAACAAATGATCAATGTAGACGGGTAAACAACAAGAAATATCCCTTAAACTTCATATTATAGATAAGGTTATATAGTGTAATGTGTGTCTGTTACTACATATAAAACTATGTATAAAACATTCAACAGTTACCTCCTCCCCCGCTGGTGACAGATGTGAGGAGTCGGACATTTTCTAAACTTAAATCAAACACCACGAAGGCCCGGTGAAATAAATCCTTTAATGATTCATAGAAACAGGTCAACAGGGAGACTCACACCTTGTGTTTCCCTCCTGTTATTCCCTCACAGAATATTACATCATTTTTAAACAAATGTTCTATAAATCTAGAGCAGAAGTTTTCACTCTTCTTCTTCTTCATGATCTTCTTCTCCATCATCTCCCACACCTAAAGACACGCACGCACGCACACGTGAAAAAAGTCGTAGTATAGTATTTCAGAGAAAGTATACGGTATAGTAGTATTATTTCTTCTGTCGAAAAATGTCATATTATGGTTTTTCATCCAATTTATAAAAAAGTCTGATTTGAAAATTGTAAAAAAAAAAATTGTAAAAAGTAATAGTATGAAATTAATTATACTTCATTAGAGTTCATTTAGACAATAGTTACTGTTTCCATTACTCATGTCTCTGTTTTATATCTGGTCAACATCAGTGGTTTAGACCTGCAGAGCTCTGCTGCTGCTGCTACCACAGCCACAACAACACCCCTCTTGGTTCTCAGAATTGCAATTCATAGAAAAACCACCAGGTCTCAGACCACTGTGTGTGCATTCAGACACCATTAGAAAGTCTGTTTTCTGATTAAAATGATATAAAAAAAACAATACTACAAGTATTTATGAAAAGGAATAATTCAAAATAGTAATAATACACCAACAACTACTCAATATATAATGCTATATGTACATTCTCTGCACGGTTTTACTTTAAGCACGTACCTGTTCAGCACCAGAGGGTAAAACCACAGGTTAACAACCAGGTCAACCTGTGGTTAACTACATCCTCACAGAAACACTTCTCCTTCAGTTCTCAGAAGAGAAATAAAGAAGCAGCAGGTCAGAGAGTCTGACAGTCGAGAGCCAGAGACCGAGAGAGAAGCACGATGTCTGAATTCAGAAGGATCATGATGTCTTCATTCCTGATGCTGCTGCTCCACTTTTCAGGTGAGGATGCAGAGAACACACTTTAAATAAAACAGCTTTAATATCACTAACGGTACTTTACTACGTACTGTTCCTTTAACTGAGAATGATGAGTTGTGTTTGTAACGTGGTGACTTTAGTGAACGCTGTCTGTTTTTTTTTAACAGCAGCAATGTTGAAATATTCCTTCTTGACTGTCAGAGCTGGAGATGAAGTCACTTTGCCTTGTGACAATGTGATACATGATCAGGATACATGTGAGAGTACTAGCTGGCTCTTCATTGATTCAAACAGCTCAGCAGCAGTGAGAGCTGGTTAATCTTGGGCAGATTGGTAAAGAACCCAAAGCTAAATCAGACAGACTGAGCGTTACAAAGAAATGTTCTCTGGTTATAAAGAAGGTCAAAGAGGAGGATGCTGGAGGTTACAACTGCAGACAGCTCACTGTGTTTGATCTGTCTGTTGTTACCAGTGAGTATTTACATCATAATGTTTTCAAACTGTCTCTAAACTGAAACATTACAATA